AAGGACGAAAACAGATCCAGTTTTCGTAACGTTGCGTGTCTTTTAGAACACCGGACGATCGATAAAGTCCAGAAATTCGGTAATCGATATCAGATCCCTTTATAATCGACTAATAATTGTAAGTTTCGAGGTCAATAAAAGTATAGCTGGATGTGGTAAACCATTTAGATGGTTGTTAACTTCTAACGGAGGTGTGACTAGCATTTAAATCGAAACTTTCTTAAGACTTCCAAAACAAGTGTAACATTTTGTGACATTAAATGTCTGCACAGTTGTCTAAACAGTAGAAATAATCGAAATTTTCTATGTGCAACTGAAAATTATTTTACTTTGTTATACTTATTTTTGCATTTGTGTTTATGACAGTGCCGTTAGCTTCTTTCTAACCACGATGGTTTCTTTTGTGAAAGATAACAAAATCTAAGAAGAATCTTTGGAACTGGCTGATTTAAGTTGAGCAATATTTGCGCTATATAATTGTAATTCTGCCATGAACGCGTTTTCAGATTCTGAATGAGATATTTCCAAAATAGATTCTGTTACTGGCGACAAAGAAAATGCACTTTTAATACCATTCGTAAAACACTTCGTTTTGTTCTCTTGTACCATTTAAGTGCATTGTTCGTCATGTGCGTAGAATGTGGTCTGAATTACGTAGAATATATAATGAAAATTGTTTCCAAAGTGGTTAACTTAATTGCTTCTCGTGCTTTAAATATAAGTTTAAATTGGTTTTTGAAAGAGACTGATTAAATTAAAATGGTATACTTGTTAACAACAGTGTTCGTTGGCTTAGTCGTGGGTGTGTTTGACGGCTTTATTGAATGTCTGAATGGTATAAAATGTTCATGGAGGGGTCGTAGTAAGACTTCGCAGTTAGATGATACACAATGGTTCTGTGCGCTCGCTTGAATGAGTTGAATGAGAAACTGCGTGGTATGTGGAAGCCAATTGATTTTATGTTCAGTGAACTGCAGAATTTGAGACGAAGCTTAAGAAGTTATATGAATGTGATCTGAGCATTAATACTCAGAAATATTGTCTTCGACTGAATAATTAAAATGAATTATCTTAAATTTCTTGAGAACTCATAGATGCAAAATTTGAAAACTTTATTGGGTGTAATGACAGCAGAAGGAAGATTTTTGGGCTTCTGGAATTTCGAGGAAACTCAAGTATTTTAAAGTACCGTGGCGCTAAAACTTGAAGATCTGAGTGTTCATATCGATTTACTGATGTTCAGATTAGTTCAGTTAACAGTTTGAAGGAATTTTCTGTGATCAATTATGTGACATCCGATAAAACCAGTGTTGTTTGTTAGATTTTGAAGCTCACGAAATTCGAACCCGATGTAACAGTCAGTGATTTGAGGATTGCTGTCTTCTGGGTTGTTGCGTCG